GGGGAATTCTGGGAGCTGAAATCCACACATCTTAAAGTTGCCAAGTTTGAAAAACACTGATGTAATTCATGACACGCTAAGAGGGAATAGTGGCCAAGTTGGGATGTCATAAAAAATCCAGCCCTTTATTTAAAATGATAATTCCTCAAATTTAGTGTCATGCCATACTTAACAGTTAATTCTGTCCACTTCTGGTTTGCATGCAACGAATGCAGTTCCCTTATCGTTTTGCTGGAGCAAACAAGATAAGTTGAAGTTATGAAAGCAGAAATGTAATAATACACACTTTTCTGAGAAAGGGGGTTTGGTTGATTCATGCATTTGATTCGTGCATTTACTAAACAAAGTCAGCCAGGTGTTTTCAAGCGTTGAGATGCTATTACCCCCTAAAAGGATGGATGGATGGATGGATGGATGGATGGATGGATGGATGGATGGATGGATGAAACTATCAGATCACGCTTAGACAGGGCTCCCACTCTGCCTGGACATGCGTGCTGATGGTTTCTCCAGGCAGAGAAGGAGTGTGGTCTGGCGTTCAGCCAGCTGTGCATGTACAAGCCAAAGCTGGATCCTAGGACTGAGGGGGAGGGGGGGGTCTCCTTCAATACCGTTGTGTTTCCACTAGTGACTTGTGCAAGAGTCCCAACCCTTTCCGGAGTGGGTAGGATCAAGGTATCCTTTCCTAGTTCACTTTCCCTTTCTTCCAACTGTACACTTGGCTCTTTCTGGACTGCTGTTCAGGCCCTGATGCTGAGCTGGGATGCCCGCTGCAGGAAATTCAAGCATTGTGCATGTTCTGCTTGCTGTAGGAGAACCCTGCCTCCCCAGAGCAGACCAGCACCCTTGGAATGAGCGCACAGTTCAGGATCAGAATTGGCTTCTAGGGCCGAGACTCTGCATCAAAGCCTCTGCGTTTGCAACAATGGTTGCTGCAACCACAGTAGAAGACTAGCGGAGCGCATCCACGAACACCAATTAGCAGTCAGCAAACTCCTTAATCTCACAACCCATGGACAGACTCAACCACAGTTTCACCTGGGAAACTGTCAGTATCCTAGACCAAGCTAAATCCAAAAACGTGAGGGAATTCCTGGAAGTCTGGCATTCAGACAAATTAGCCTGGCATTCAGCCAACTTAGCTTGGCATTCAGATGACTTAGCTTGGCATTCAGACAAATCAATAGACATATACAGATAAAACACACTTACACATCATTCAAAAGAGACTATAAAAGAGCTAAGAAGGAAACAAAAAGACCAGAACACATCCCCTTTAGCAGCCTACTCCCAGATAAGCAGGGATTAACACCAGACAAACAGTCAAGCTGAAAACAGTGCCTTAATCAAGGAACTACCCAGGAGAAAACCACAGCCCCAGCAACACTGGCAGGGGAAGCTACCGTATATAATCAGGGAGCAAACCCCACTCTCCCTGGCACTGATAATGTTACCTAGTTGGGTCATGAAACGTCTGCAAGCCAATGACCAAGCTCAGAGAGCACCAAGGACTCCACAGTTCAACCCTGAGCTACAGAGATGCTCTTCTATTGTAACCATTCTGCAAGCACAGAAGCCATTCAGGGACAGCCCCAAAGGCTACCCACATCCAGGCAGAGCAGGAGCGAATGCAGCCTTCCCCTTCAGTTTTGCTTGCACCCCACAGAGAGTCAAGACCCACAGTTAGAGAACCCCTGCATGAAGTGAGTGAATGCAGGCCCTATAAGTTTAAACCATAAAGCAGGGCAGGTTTTGAGTTTTTTCCCCCCAATGGTCGGATCATTCAGCAACGTGGTTCCTAACAATTTGCTCCCATTTATTATTTTTTGCTTTTAGTGAATCTTTTTAGTGCAAATTAGCAGTGCGAAGTCTCACAGTGGCATTAGGCTCATGTTCTCTACATTCTGAGGTCCAAGCAAGGTGGTAAATACCAGGAGGGTTGCAGAATGATTGCTGGGTACTATCCATGGTCTGCAACCTGTAACCATTATGATGCAGTCACGCCATAAGCTACAGTTTATGCCACCCCCTCCAAGTTGTTTTTAATGTGCTAAACCAAACCCAAACCATCATATTATGGCTTAGTGGTGATGCGTCAATTCGGTGCCTGTCTTTCAGTTAGGACTTCTGTTACGAGGGGTTGTGAGGACAATGATTGAATTTGCTGATGACGTAAAATACGAGAAGAGATGGAAAGGATTAAAAAAATCTAGGTAGACTGAACAAGGTCTACCTTGTTCAAGATGAGCAGGATAACATTTAACAGAGACAAGTTCTGTATCTTAGGGGAGGGAGGAGGGAGGGAGGGAAAGAGAAGGCAGGCAAGCAGGTCCTAGCATAGTATAAGAGAGACCTGACTTGGCAGTAGTATATCTGAAAAAGAAGAATCTAGGTGTCCTAATGGATCATAAATTGAAAATGAACCAACAATTCATGAGCCAACATGGAACGACTGCCCACAAGGCAAATGCTATTTGTGGATATAATAAGAGGTTCACAGAATCCAGATTGTGAGAAGTCATTGCCTTGGTCGGACCCTGCTTGGAAACTCTGCCCAGTTCTCATCCCCACAGTCCAGGTAGGACATTGACAAACTGGTGGGCTACCAAGGTGGGGAGGAAACTATTAGCCATGTCTCATGAGGAATGGTTAAAGGAGCTGAGCGTGCTTCACCTGAACTGTCGGGGGAAAGCAGAGAATCCTTCAGATCTCTGAAGGGTTGTCATACAGATTCTCTCTATGATTCTGTGGTTTTAGAAGAATCGCACTGAGGATCCTGGAAGATTTCAATTGCCCACAGCCATGAGAAGTATTTTCAGCAGCCAGTCTTGGACCCTGGTGGCAGAAAGAGAGCTGAAATGGAAAACAGGGAAGGGCTCAAAAAATAAAATAGCATGGAACAGCCTCAGAAAATGCTTCTTTGGACATCTTCTTCCTCAGATGACCAAGGGCCCTATTTTAGAAAGGACCCTCCTTTCTTTGAAGGTCTATCAGAGGATGGTGTCTCCAGGTCCCACAGACATGTGAATAGCTCTAGAGGCCATCAGACATTGCATTCCCCAAGATGCTTCCATGCCTTGTAACCTTAATAGACTAGCCGGAGAGGTGGGAAGCCGAGGGGGCTTCAAACTGAGGTGTAACAGTAAAGGTCACTGCCAGCAATAGCCCCTTCCACCTCCTCCCACAATCAGGCCAACTTAGAAGCAGGACCAAGAGAAGTTAGACTAGAAGAATCAAGCATCCTGAGAATAAGATGGAGAATCAGCAGCTGCTTCTGCAGAGGGAAAAAAACCAGACAAACTTCTGAGACTTGATGATTCTGAGAGATTCTGATATAGCATTTAGGTACAGTAAACCCAGCTACTGGGGCCGAGCGTGCCATTGTCAGCATTTGCAATACAGTTCAGGAGAAATTGAAACCCAGCGATGTTGCAGAATTATTCCTTAAGACAGGGCTTCTCAAACCTTGGGGGTCACCAGCAGAACTGAAGGGGGTTGCACTCCCTTCCACTCTGTCTGGACGAGGGTAGCCCTCATCAAGTGGCCGGTGCTGGACCTGGGCATGCGTGAGATGTGGGCGCAAGGATCTTGTTTGACAGCAACGGCTCCAGCAACAGCCCCATTGAGCCCCGTTGCAAAGGCTGTCGAAGGAGGGTCTCAGCCCCGGGACTGGATTCTGGTTGTTGCTTCCACAGTGCTGCTAAGATATCTGCTGGAAGTGTCCATGAAGTCCTTGGGTGTTTTAACCTTTGCTCCAGTAGGTGATAACACCTGGGCTGGGCTGGGCTGGGCTGGGCAGGTAAACAGGTGGGTTCTGATCTAAAACATTCCAGAAGATCTTTATTGCTGCCAAGAAATCGATCCTGAAATTACCAGGAGACTCCAGGAGACTTTCCCTTTTTATGGCAAGTCATCACATTCACTGTAATTGAAGCAAACGGCCCCGTTGACTTAAAACTAAATTCAGTTTCAATTAAATTCAAATTACATTTTAATTTTGAATTAAATTCAGTTGTTGCCTTGGGCCCCTCCACTTTTAGAGGGCCACTCCAGGGATGGATATGTGCTTCAGCCAGAGAAGGTTGGACCGTATTGGATCTTCCATGAAATCAGAGGTTATCATGGGTCAAGAGCCGTGTCCTTCAAGTAATCACCTCTTCATCTTGTATTTTCAAGCTATCAAAGAGAAATACTCGGACTGGACGGAGTTTCTCATACGTGATTTGACGGGCTCACGAACAGCGCCTGCAAATTTACTAGAAGGTGTATGTATTGACTTAATATCTCTTCTTGAGTGCTGCTAAGTTCATAGTAGAATAACCTTTTAGGTAAGAGTGTAAAGTGGGCTTCCTGTTGCAAACCCAACAGAAAATAAGGGATGGAATATTTGCCTGTACTAATTTAAGATAGCTCCTTTTCTAAGTACCATCTGATTCCTAACCAAAGATACTTCAGGTTTATTGGAGTGCAGACACAGAGATAAGCAAACGGAAATAGATGGTGATTTCCTTAATTCAGGCCCAGTTCTTCTGCTTTCTTGAATTTATGAATGTAGGTACTTCTTTCCTTGTTCAGCACTTCAAATTTAGGATCTTTAACCTACACAATTAGGGTAGAAGAGGAATTACAAATACAAGCATAAAATGCAGAGATGTTCTTTGTACTTTTAAGCATAAATAAGAAGATTGCATGCCTTTCAGGGTCAGAATCTTGATGGGGATAGAAGTCAGTTTTCTTGGACTTTGGTCCCAATCCAAATTCCTCCCCTTACAATTTATGGGGCGGAGGGCATCATTCAATGACGGAGTGCCCCAATACAAAATAGAGGAATGGAAGAGAACTTGGAGGGTTTAAAATGGTATTGGACCAGTGAAGAACCCACAATATTAATTTCTCAGCCTGCGTTATCCATCTTGATGAGTATAGATCTCCAAGGTTTTTGATGGTAGCCATCCCTGGTTAATGAAAGATTTTTAATTACAGATGCCAGAAATTAATCCTGAAATTAGCATGCTCTAGTCCTGAAAAATGATCCTTCCTTGTTTATTGAAGGGGAGACCTGTAAGCGGCTGTTGTCTGTGGGGGCTAAAATTCAAAATGTAGGAAAGACTCATGATGCTGTTCTTGTAACTTCCTAATAGCTCAAGCTGGACCTAGATAGACATTAGTCTGATCTGCCAAGGCAGTTCTCATGTTCTTACGATTTCCTTGTCGCTTATTTTGGAAAGTGAAGGATGGTTTTTTGCAAAACAGCCATGGGTTCTGCCATCGGAGCACTAAGATGTTTTCTGATCCTTTGGGAATCCACTCGGTCCTCTTCTGCAAGCTTCACATACCCTGCGGTCCTGTCCTTGCTGGCCAGCTGATTGTGCAGATTGGCTAGCTTGCAAAAAAGTGGGCAGGGCTTAGAATCTCAGGGAAGGACTCTACCACAACTTTTCTGCTCATATGATGTCTGCACTAGCGGATGCATTCTTTTCACCTGGAAGTTTTTTTGATCAGAACTAGAATATTTGGGGAAGACAGCCTTTCATTAAATATTAAGGGCAGGCCCTCCATGCAGGCAAAACTGTAATCCATATATTTATATGTACCTGTGAGCTTGGAAATGCAAACCTTAAAAAAACAGATGCCACCCTTTTTCCTAAATTATGTATACTTCCTTTATTTTTAAATAAGCAGAGTCCTAGAACTCCATCCCCCTCCCTTCCCAAGGAGTCGTTTTGGAAATGAATGGTTCTTCAGAAATGGTTTATTGTTTTGCTTTAGTTTTTCTGCAAGGAATGCCTAATAGGATTAAAATGAGGAGGAAAAGAGGATGGCAAGTGCAGCACGGAGGAAGAGGGGAAAAAAGGCTGGGTAGAGGGAAATTGGTGGTCTTCTGGGTAGATTGCTGTGAGGAGATGTTCAATAAAGTTTAAAATAAGGAGTTTTGCTTCTGTTCAAACAGCCTCTGCGAGGGAAAAATGCTGTAGACCTCATTACGGTTGATTCCTTAATAGAACTGCAGGATGGCCAGAATCCCTTTCAGTTCTGGATAGTTAGCGTGGTTGAGAATGTCGGCGGAAGATTGCGCCTTCGCTATGCGGGGTTGGACGAAACAGACTCCTATGACCAGTGGCTGTTTTACTTGGACTGTAGACTTCGACCAGTTGGCTGGTGTCAAGAGAATAAATACCGGCTGGACCCACCTGCAGGTAAGAGAAAGAGGTACTACCCCTCCACCTGTCATCCACCCACCCACCTACCCACCCATCTATCTACCCGCCTGCCCGCCCATCCATCCATCCATCCATCCATCCATCCATCCATCCATCCATCCATCCATCCATCCATCCATCCATCCAAAGTGTTAATGTCATTTGGCCAACTTGGGAAAAGTTAAGCAGCATCAGAAGTGGGCAATCCTTGGACAGGAGACCAAGGAAATGCCAGGCTAGATTGGGGATGCAAAAACTAACAAAGAAAAACAAAACAAAACCCACTCCACCACAGACAAAGGCTGTGGTTGCAAAATAAACAACCTGGATGTGTCTATGAAGTCAATAGGACCCAAGCTTGGCTCAAAGGAGTCTTCTCTTAAGGCTGCCACAGGTGAGAATATCTAGATGTCTGGCTGATCTCAAAATGTTAAGCAGGATTGGACTCAGTGGGTGCTTGGAAGGGTGAATTTTCCTAGGGCTATAAATTTTCCTAGAAGAACCAGATGGATGCCTCCATGTGGTCATCAAGAGATGAGCTTGGCTCAAGGGAGACTTTACTTTTCCTAATCTTATTTTAAAGGACTACCTTATGTCTACAATACGGATTTTAATTAAAATGGGTGACTTTGCTTTGTTAGATTTTCTTTTTCCTGTTTTTGAGATCAGGCTGGTGCAGGGAATGAGCAATCCACAGACTGCATGTGCTGCCTTCCCCAGTTATGACCCTGTGATAGTGTTTCAGTGTTGTAATTTATTATCTGCAAACTTCTTGTGATAACTTATTAGGACCCATGCTGGCTGGGGAATTCTGGGAGTTGAAGTCCACATGTCTTAAAGTTGCTAAAGTTGAGAAACACCGAAGTAAACCATTAGACCGGTGTTTCTCAGCCTCAGCAACTTTAAGATGTGTGGACCAACTCCCAGAATTCCTCAGCCACACATCTTAAAGTTGCCAAGTTTGAGAAACGCTGCATTAGACAGATCTTTCTTTGAAATGAAGTCAAGAATTAACAGCTAATTTTCACCTGTTCAGATTCAAGAAACTGTAAAATCTCATTTGGCTTGGCTCCAGATTGAGTTCATTCAGAGAGAGAGAGGGAGAGAGAGAGAGAGAGACCGACCGAGCGACCAACCCATGGCTGGCTGGGGAATTCTGGGAGTTGAAGTCCGCTCATCTTAAAGTTGCTAAGGTTGAGAAACATGCTTTAATCCAACCAGATTAAGGCTGCAGCTGAGGGATCCCCTGTTTTCCTCACTGAACGGGCTGTGCTTTCAAAATCTCAGAGCGGCTGCAAAAAGGCCAACACGATACCATGGAAGTGCATTTAGGGCAAAGCGCCAGGCGTCTGAGCGTTTTGTCTTCATGAACAATTAGATTTATTGCCTTCGCTCTACAGAGACGAGCCAGGCTCTTCAAATCTAATAACCCCTTCCCTTTCCCCTCATGATCCTTTCTGGATGTGGCCTGGAGGCGTGACAGGGATGAAGAGAGCAGCCGGGAGAAAAAGTTTGGTCTAAGCTCACTTCCCTCCATGAAAAGAGTCAGTTTGGCTAGAAGCCTACTTGAATTGCTTAAAAGCTTTGGAAAATCCCATATGTAGGACTGGTTTTGCTAGCCTAGCCCGAAGGGTTAGGGAGAAGCTTGACATATTCTTGGGAAATTTGTATGAAGATCAAAAGAGGCTTTGGAGTTCCTTGCAAGTGTCTTCAGCAAAGCCTGGCAATTTCTCCAGTTTCCTTCCCCGCTGAAGGAGGCTTCAGTTTTTTCTCTCTCCAGATGTTTCACCATTTATTTTGCATTTCTTTTGGCAAAGCTTCTGAGCTCTCAGGGGTATCCGCAGAGAGGTCAGAAACAGTCAAGATGGCAGCCCCACCGTGCTTTCAATGCTCCACCCCTTTTTTACATGCCTGCAGGTTTTTCCCCAAAAAAACCATATAAATTGTTGAAGAAAAAAAGCAGAAAAAAGCATTGAGCAGAGGCCAGGCAAAGCTGTGCAGTGATTTTAGGGTAGTGTCTCTCAACCTTGGCAACTTTAAGATGCATAGACTTCAACTCCCAGAATTCCCCAACCAGCATGCTGGCTGGGGAATTCTGGGAACTGAAGTCCACATATTTTAAAGTTGCTAAGGTTGAAAAACACTGTGGGACTTTCTCTTTTATTAAGCCAAAATCCAGCTTGGTTGGAGCATCTAGCCACCCTTGGATGATCTCTAAAATCAAAGCCAGAGCAAGGTAGTACTTGGATGGGAGACCACTAAGTAATTTCAGGGTTGTTGGCTAGAGCAGGAAGTAAAAAAGAAACACCTTGGAAGAACGCAATGACAAATCATTCCATACTGTTGCCAAGAAAACAAGATGGATTTATCCAGCAGGAGATAAGCGCAACTTATTTCAATTCAAAGCAGACCTTATATCAGGGCAGCGGTCATACAGTTAAGAAAAGTGCAAATATGTATCATAAAGATTTAATATCTACATGCAGGATCATTGAATGTGTGCATGTTGCTTAATCGGTCGCGGGATGTCCAATGTTTTTACTGCAGAAATCTCTTCTCTGAAGACCGCGTCTGAATGGCGGATGGCCCTGGACACAGCTCTGACCGAGGCAGGAAAAGGTTCCCTTCCCATGGAAGTGTTTAAGGTAAACCTTAATAAACCCTTGTTCCTTCTTAATAAACAATTATTCCTTCCTGATAAACCCTGTTCCTTGTTAATATACCCTAGTTTCTTCTTAATAAACCCTTATTTCTTCTTAATAAACCCTCGTTTCTTCTTAATAAACCCTTATTCCTTCTTAATATACCCTAGTTTCTTCTTAATAAACCCTTATTCCTTCTTAATAAACCCTCGTTTCTTCTTAATAAACCCTTATTCCTTCTTAATATACCCTAGTTTCTTCTTAAT